TGAACAAAGCTACCCTATCTCTTCTAGGTCGTGGAACAACATCCGGGCATGTGACCTCTTTGTTCCATACTGTATATATATCTATGTCAGTGTAAACTACTTGCACCTGATGATGACAGAACTTTGTCGAAACGTTGTACATTTGCCGTTATGTTAAACTTAGATTTAAAGTTTTTCTTCATTACCCGTTCAAGCCGTCTCCAAGCATTATTAATGATTGTTTCCTTACAAGCTGCAATATGTTCAAGCATTGAAGGAGACGGACTTGACTCGATAAATGGATTTTGTGTTGAAGTGCTTAGCATCACTGGAAATCGATGACCTGCCAATATATTGTGAATTAAGGAACAGTTCACCCTCTCTAAAGCCGCCCGGCATGGCCAGGTGGTTAGGGCGCTTGACTCACAATCTGAGGGTCGCGGGTTCGAATCCCCGTTCCAACAAACATGCTCGCCCTTTCAGCCGTGGGGGCGTTATAAAGTGACGGTCAATCCCATTACTCGTTTGTAAAAGAATAACCCAGAAATTGGCGGTGGGTGGTGATGACTAGCTGCCTTCCCTATGGTCTTTTACTAGGGACGGCTAGCGCAGATAGCCCTCGTGAAGCTTTGCGCGAAATTCAGAACCAAGCCCTCTCTGAAAGTGTCAACAGGCACAACTGCATTATGCGATCAGAACTGATCCTTATGTAACATTTTCCACACATCTCCATGCAGAGGCGTTGCTTTGTACTTAAAAGATTCGGGGCTTGGGCCAATAAGCTCGAAATTTTTGGTGTTTCAGTAGACATAGATCATGGTTTTCTATTTTGATTTTTTAAGACACCAACTGGGGATTGGGGGCATACGCCCCGTGTGCCAGCGCCTAGCGACGCCTCTGTCTTCGTGATGCTAAGGTGTGAGTGTGGTGTAGTTTTACACATAAATAACTTTGGGATTGAATTGTACTTGATTTTGAGGAACTATAGCATAAGAATTGCAAACCTGCACAACCAATGTAATTTCCATACTGCAGCAACATAATGTGGTAGACACTACGGTTTTCATGCAGGATGGTATCCCTCTGCACTTTGGTAACCAAGAGAAACACGTCTTGCTGAAGCACTTTCAGGGCAAAACCATTTCGTCTTGCTCACTGGTACTAACACCAACTGTTTTCTAGTTGTGTGTGTGTACCTGAAGTTACACATGTACCGTGGGAAGCCTTGTACAGTTCTGACCTCACAGATGCAATTGTCCAGGAAGTGTTCAACATACTAAATATGATGCACGTTATTGTTGTTATAATGTTCGTTGCCATACGAACGCAATGAATAGTGGACGCTAAGCGAGCATATTTTGTGATTGATCAGACACTAGGTCATAGTGGCGCCCTTGGTGACAACATGAGAACTGCGGTACTTGCATGCACATGATATCCTTAACACCTCTGTACAATTTCACCCCCCTATGCCATGCCATAAGTATGACGCGCTGAACTGTAAGATTTGCTTTATAATCACTATATAGTATATGTGACAATAAGTTGCCAGTTCAGCTAATATATTTTTTTTTAATTTGTGACGAAGCAAATGTGAAAGGTAATCAGATCAAATCACTTTGAATTAGACATTGCATAACGGTAATGTTTTTTTAGTGAAATTATGTAATTATTTAATTTGTCAGGCTTAACTGTGTAATTCAAATTTAACAAGTAAAGAATTATCTCTAACTTATGTTGATAAAACGGCATGACAACCGTTTGAAGTTTTAAAATTTACAATAATGGTAATAATAATAATAATTGAAGTCAAAAGTTCGAGGCTAAAAACCAACCAATCAATTTTAGGGTTCAAACATCACACAATATGGTTCTTGAAACTTCCCCTCCTCCTTTCTATAAATACGTCACTCGGTCCGGTAGTTTTGAAATATATTTTAACACGGAAACAGGAAGGAGGTTTAAAAACTTTCAAACACTTAGATTATCATAAGTAAAAGGATTACAATGGTGTAAATACCATGCAGCAGAGACCGGAGTCAAATATCGTAGTTAGGCAACCGCAGAATTAGTTTGTTTTGTGTTGATGGCAGAGCTACAAATGGGTTGTCTGCACTGTGTCCGCCGTCGGGATTGAATCCATAATTTTTACCCTTCAGGCCTATCACGGAGTTACCAATCTTCTAAATAAAAGGAAAACGCTATGCTTTATATGAAAAGTTTTTAAAACATACATGTCAGCGACAAAAACTACAGATTATCTTAAATCATTCATATTAAATATATTAAACATAAAAAGGTTTTTAAAATTCGATTAATTATATAATATTAAACCCTTTCTCACTCAACGTTGAATGAAAATGAAAGAAAGTTATTTTACACTATTTCTTCATATTTGATATGTATGGTGATAATTTTTCTACATATACATATATTTTGAAAACAAATAACATGAGACAGTTCATGTTATAGTACTTTATAAGCTAGCTAACATGGTTCGTTTTGTTGTCAAAAGTATGAAACAATATACTCTGTTTCTGTCCATCATATTTGAAGACTGTATATGTTAATTACCTAAGAATATTTCAACTATTCAAGATGAATACTCTGTAAATATAAAGTTCGATGGGTTACGTGTTTTTTATATTATTTTGGTTCTAATAAGTAACTTTATTTTTTAAAGCTACTTCTCCAAACATTGAAGTTTCGTATAATATGCGACACCTACAGCTTCCAAAAGATACTAAACCTGGTAAGTGACGGTTTGAGAGCAGAGAAGTGATTTTCCTTTACCGTATTAACGAAACGAAAACATGTGTAAAACATTTTTCATTTCATTCCGTATTTTACAAACCCCAAAAATGCATTAAATAACAATATTAGATATCTATTGCTAATTGTTTTAGTATATATAAAACTATTTACATCCCTAATTATCATAATATTTAAATAATGTGGCCGGATATTAGGAATGTTAAACAATAAAATAGGGGTGGCCCATAAAATCTAGTTTCGTATTAATTATATTGAAGATGCTAATAAATACCTATATAGATATTTTGATCTATATACTTTGTTGTATTCACATTTAATGTCAAGCTAACTTCCAGTAGTTCGGGAACACTGTACAAGACTTCAAAGATGGTACAAATAATACTGTTTTAAGTCGACTAAATACACAGAAAATAGGGGTGGAAAGACCATCGATACCTTAGGAGTTTTTAGCTTGCGCTATTATTTACTTGAGCTTGTTAAATAATGCGTTTAAAAACATTTTTAGAAATAAATATCCGCCCTATCTATGAAGGAAATCGTGTTACTCAAGGTAATCCTCTCTGTTTATTTTACAAAATGTTAATTATTTTTAAAAATCATAAATCCTATTTAAATATGAAGCGCATGGTAGTTTTTTAAATACAACTATAATAAAATCGTTTTCTTTATGTTAACTGTAAAAAAAAAATCGATTAGAAACTAACACCACCTATGAACTTAAAGTAACTTAAATTATTATCTACGTGATTTACGTGTCTTCCATGTGCTACTTTTTCAAAATTTCTCACTCATTCAAACCACTCTAATGTCATTGTAAACAGTTTTGTTTTATTCTTCCGATTTTCTTTTTTCAACTAACTCGCCTATAATGAAGTTAAAAATAATGTATTGGAAAAAATCGAGGTAACAAATTTATAGTAATTTCATGGCTATATAATGCTGAATAATTTCGTTTGACTGACTTAGGTTTTCCAATTCATATTATCGGATTTTACTTTATTCTACCATAATATGTTAATATTTTTTTATTAGCTCTAAAATTACTGTGTGTGTGTCTATAATAAAATATATGAACCTCATCACATTTTTAACTATTTATACACCGTAAGGGTACATGAATTTCTTGGTTACAGAATCATTAATAACGTGTGAATAACAAATAAATTAATAGAAAATATCATTAATATTGAGATTAATCCCATTAATTACTTCTGGGATTTCCTATGTATTTTACATAAAAGATGAGTGATAAACTCTTTATACTGGATGTTGTGAAAGACAAAAATACATATGTATTCAATGTGATGCAATATGTAGACCCCACCGGTAAATTGAGGGTTAAGACAAGCTATCTAAAGCCAAGTAATTTCGTTTGTCGATTGGCTAATCGCTGGCATGATGTCAATATTTTCTCTCAGCTTCCTGAAGTGTTATATATATATATTGTTGTGTTTTAAGCATCAGACCTAATTATATCTTACCATGAAAAGTTTCAATAAACCACCACATCTATTTCAAGACCGCACAGTGGGTCTATTTAATCTAGACATCGATGGAAAAGTTATGATTGCATCTGTTTCACTTTTCCACCTTGCGTCGTTAAATGTTCACATCCATAATCTCGGGTGTTACGTTTCCAAAAATATTTTCTATCTTTTAACTCTCAGCTACCGACTTCTTTTATACAGTGTTCTATCGTCAGAGTCTGCATACTGCATCAGTGCAACGAACTGATAAAAAACAACGATGGATGAAATAATTGATTTTCTACACGTGGGATTAATTTCAGTGTTGAAGGTGACGCATATGTTTATTAGGGACCCTGTAATGAACATAGTATGAACCCACAAACAATTTGGTGCATAAATGATTAAGAAATATATGTTTAAAATGAAGTTATATCCTTTCGATAATTCAATGGTTAAAAATAAAACTAATTTAATAAAAACATCATCTTCATGAAAAGCTGTTTAAAGGATTCGCATAGAAAGCTCCAATATATCAATATATCCCAATTAAAATATACGTTACTGGATAAGAATCGAGCAAATATGCAAGAGTTCATTTATATATTATAAAATTATCCATGATGTAGGTAGTCTTTTGTATTTTTAAAGCAAAGCAGAGATCTTCTAAATCAATTTAAAGATCAGCATGATTCACAATGGGTTTAATAAGCTGAGTTTGTACTATGACATGTCTAACCACACCTGCATTTACATCATTGCTGTTAAATATAGTAGAAGACATTATATATGTAAGTGCATTGATAAAGGTTTTAAACATTTTCTGTGTAATTCCTTTCACACAGCTCGAATTCTCTGCAAGACATACACACAGTTGTTTTGAAAGAATTTGTCAACTAGTGTGAATCAGTTGAGATTAGAACAACTTGTATTTTAATCCGAGATTTTAATTGTGCGAAATATTTCAATCGCTAATATAGTGTTACGACAGCGGAGGTCACGTGACTTTAGTAACACGTCATATTCTCGAAACTTCGTGAGTCCTCGGGAGGTTACTAGATTTCGGTATTATTTTATATATAAGACGGTCAAGACGTGGCGGCAAGAATGTAATGCTGTGTAATTGAACTGCGGACAGAGAGAGAATATTGTTGAGTCGAGCACGTGAGACGTTCGTTGTGAATTCTAGCGTTTGTTATAGCGCGACTGTGGAAATTAAGTGTATTGCAAAGTTGTATTCAGAAAGAATAAACCACTTTTATTTAAGAAAGGACTTGTGTCGCTAAAATTTCATCGGAAAGAATTTTTACGGAAAATTAACTAACTAACGTAGGCGTAACAAATTGGTGTCAGAGAGTGGGAAGGAAAAGAAAAAAATGGAAACGAGAAGCGGCAAATCAAACGACAGCTTAGCAGATTTGATGGCAGCAATACAAGAACAGCATAAGGTACAAGAAGAACGAGAAAAGAAACAAGAATAACGAGAAGAGAAATTACAGCAGTGGTTGGAGGAAAAAGAAAAGAAACAAGAAGAACGAGAAAAGAAAAAAGAAGAGAGACAACAGCAGTTGCAAGAAAACCTGCAACAGTGGCAGCTGGAACAGCAAAATAAACAAGATAGATTACAGCAGTTGTTGGAGGAAAAAGAAGAGAAACAAGAAGAACGAGAAAAGAAACAAAAAGAGAGATTACAGCAGTGGCAAGAAAACCTGCAACAGTGGCAGCTCGAACAACAAAATAAACAAGAAGAGAGATTACAACAGCTATTGGGGAAGAAAGAAAATAAACAAGAAGAGAGATTACAGCAGTGGCAACTGGAACAAGAAAGGAAACAGGAAGAAAATCTCCAACAGTTACAGGAAAGTCAGCAGCAACTACAGGAAAATCAACAACAGTGGCAAGAAGTACAAATGGAAAACATTAGTAAATTTAAAAGCGAATTAGATACATTAAAGGATGATCTATTGTCTTTTACACAAGGAGGATACATTAACTATCGATTTAATCAGCCCAAGACAATGGCAAGCCCCTTCCAGACCCCGCAGCTAAACCCTAATGCAGACATCTTCCGTCCTGTTAGAAGTTACATCCCAGATATGAATGTCACTAATAGGAGTGATCCAGTACGAAGGAAGCCACAGGAATTCGATGGGAAGGCACCGTGGGAAGCATATAGAGTACAATTTGAGCTACTGACAGAAATGAATGGATGGACAGAGGAGCAGAAAGCAGTATATCTGGCAACGAGCCTGAAGGGACAGCCACTGGAAATACTTGGACAGTTGTCGGCAGATGACAGGCACAAGTATAAAGCACTGGTAGCGGCTCTAGAACTCAGGTACAGAACCCAAAATCAGTCTGAAGTCTACAGAGCTAGGTTTAGGACGAGAGTCCGTGCAAAAGGGGAGAGCCTGCAAGAGCTGGCACAGGACTTGGAAAGCATGGCACACAAGGCCTACCCAACTACACAACCCGATCTCCACAAGTTGTTGCTGAGGGATCAGTTTGTAGACGCCTTGGACAGTCCACAACTGAAGATACAAGTGAAGCAAGCACACTCCTCTACCATGCATGATGCAATGGCCAGAGCTCTTGAATTTGAATCCTACGTTAAGTCCAGCACAGAGGTACCAAGGTTGGTACAGTCATCTGGATTCAAGGCCAGAAAAGGTCAGCTTTCAAAGAAGTTTGAGGGACTTTGCTGGCACTGTAACAAACCTGGGGACAAGAGAGCTCAATGCAGGAAACTTCAACACAGGGAAAATGCCATGGCAAAAAAGGCTGCTATCCAGAAAGGTTGTTGGAACTGTGGAGAGCAAGAACATATGAGTAGCC